AAATGAACAAGTGTCCTGTGCTGCAGGGTTTCTGGCTGCAGGAGCGGCAGGAGGTTCTACAGATGGACCCCCGTGGGCCCTTTGCTTTTCCTCCAACCACCACGCACGCTTCCACCAGCTTTCACACTGCCTGGTCCCTGTCCTGCCTGGAACGCTCTTCCCCAGATGCCTGCTTGGCAAACGCCCTCACTCCCTTCTCGTCTCTGCTCACTGCCACCATCCCAACGAGGCTGCCCCTGCTTGTCTGATTTAAGATTGCACCTGTGCTCCCAACCCCCTTCCTGTTCTGTGTCTTTTTTCCCATTGCACTTACCACCATTTAGTAAACCAATCATTTACTTACTTAGGTTCATTGTCGATGACTGTCTCCTCCTCTTTGTTTTGTTCATTGATGTATCCTAAGTGCCTAGAATAGTATCTAGCACCTAGTAGGCTCTTATCAAATAAACATCTGTTAAGTGAATAAATGTATACGCGCTGGTTATCATTAGTTATTTATGCAGCAACAGGCAGTTTTCAGTAGCATCTTCGGTGCTTGCATAGCTAAAATCATCCCACATTTTTGTGTTTGAACAGTATTGTTAGTGAAATGGAATCACCCGCGTCCCGTCCCGAGCGCATCGTCGCCTTCCTGGAAGGCAGAGTGCGCTGGCGGTGCCTGTCTGCGGCGGAGTCGGAACTCTGTTGCCTAGTGTCTTGGCCCCACAGAACCGATCGATGAGTTTCCTCTGCATTTGGCCTGACTCCGTATGCGTACCGTGTCGGCTAGGGAGTGATCCACCGTGTCTGTTCTGACTTTCGACTTCGGAGCTTAACAACCCCTTAGGAATTGTCTAATCCAGCTCATTTTATAGTTCAAGAAACTGAAGAACCAGGAGATTACGTTCATTTTCTAAATTTGCAGTACTAGCGAGAGGCAGTCCTGGAACAGAAGTCCTGGTCTGGGCGTTTGTTTGCTTGTCTATTAATACATCATATTACTACAGCAGAGAGCAAGACAGGTTTCCTCACGCCCTCCTCTAGTCTGTCAGCCTAATCCTTTGCTTCTTTTCTTTTCCTTAAGGAGGACCCAGTTTTTTCCAAATCTTCCCTGCATGTAAA